CATTAACATGACTGCTCCTAAGGCCCTGGTCCATTGTCGCCATTTATATCTGAGACACCCCTCACAGGCTCATGCTTTGGCTGCTCAGCGCCCATCTCATGGACCATTTTGAAAGCTGTAGAGTCTTCAGATGTAAGGCCTACCTGGTGGAAGTGGGTTGCGGGGCTTTACCCCCACAGTCCAGTCTGTTCTGCTTCCTGAATCACAAAGAAGCGAACAACCCTGGCATGTATTACCACTGCCAGACCTCCCCTTCTGGGATGGACTGACATCTCCACTGACGAAAATAAAACTTTCCTCCATTGAGTTTTTTTCTGCCAACTATCTGGTCACTGCAAGACAGAGGTAACTTAGCACTGTTAATAAACGGCAAACAACCAAAAACTCAGAGTGTTTGCAAACAAGTTAAAACAAGTGGAATCGACTAGCTGAAAGGCACAGATTGAGTTGCAACCAAAGCTTTCTTCAGTCGATGGAAAGCCTTCTCCATGGTAAAAATGCCCAGACAGAAAAGGTACAGTTTATAGATCTGTTTTATGTATCGTTATCTCTTGAGGTTGACCCCGGTCTTTAAAAATAGTATTTTTAATACTTACTTGATTTTATGTGCATGCGTGTTAGTCTGCATGCATGTATGTGTGCCATGCGCATGTGTGATGGTCACGGATGTCAGAAGAGAGGCAGTGTCCTGGAACTGGAGTTGTAGGTGGTTGTAACCATGTCAGTGCTGGGAACTGAACCAGGGTCCTCTACAAGAGCAATGGGTGCTCTTACCTGCTCAGCCCTCCCTGGTCTTCAAAGTCCTCAACATTCTCCATAACTTTAACAAGAAGAGACAATGGCAGATGATACTGAGAAACATCCAAGAGCCAGACCAACAAGGGCTGTCTGTTCTGTGTTTGCAGAGGAAGTTCCTGTTCTCGGCCGAGAGCCACGTCCTCAGATACCATGGTGATGAATGGTAAGGCAGTCAGCAGGCGCATTCCTCTGCCTCACATTTCTGAGCAGTTCAGTAATTAGCTCCAAATTAGGAGGCTAGCTGGCAAGGGCAGCTCTGTTCTTCCGAATCTTTGACCAACTTTCTGTGAACAGACTCAGCAGAGAAAGCCTGTTGGAGCCTAAAGTGGAGGGGCCTCCAAAGGCAACTCCCCAGTTGGAACCTTAGTGTTGGTTTTACTGGGGTCTTCAATTACTCCTGAACTCCACTGCTTTTCTAAGCACCAGGGAGTACGGTGGGATGGCCCAGAAAAGAAATCTCCGGGGCCCTAGAATAGAAACAGCATAATCCAGTCAACAGAATGTCAGTCATACCCTGTTCAAATAGTGAAGACTATTCTCCCTTGGCCTCTCTCCCTCCCTCCATTTCCTTGACTGTTCCTTCCTTCTTGCTAGGCCTTGACTTCATGATCTTCCTTCCTTAGTCTCCTGAGTTCTGTAGGCATTGCATCATTTCAGTCTTTCCTACCTAGGTCACCTCCTCAGTTGGGTTAAACGGACAATTTTCACATTGTATTTTAACGTATGACATCGACCTCTACCCCTGCAGGAACTTGAAGCAGGATTCACTCCTTGGACTGATGTTTGCTGCCTAGCAGGGTATCTTGTACACAGAAAGCAGGCAATAGATAATCTCAGGCACTGAGCCACGAACCAGTTGTAGCCAGCAGTCAGGGTAGCTCAAGCCATACCAGAAGTGTCATCTTTATGCTAAAAGACTGACAATGGCTGCCTGGTTAGAATCGATTGCTTTTAGTTGGCATTCTCTGTTGAAGATGTAGGCTTTTTAGCTCAGGAAATTTCCATCCAAAGCGCAGCTGTATTTCCTCAGGAAAGGACGTAGCAGTAGCTTGGGTTGGCTCAGAATGTTTCGTGAGTGTAGAAAGTCTGTGTACCAAGTTCTTTCTTCTCTAATACATTTCCCCCACAGCTATCACTTTGTCCTGAACGGTTCTTGTCATACAAACAGAGACCGTGGCTGTGAAGTTTGGGGGAAATAGTGTTCTCGTTAACCATTTGAGACTGAGCCTGGCCCTCCTCTCGAAGGTCTATTGATCCTAACAGCTTCAGCTGACTTGGATTTGAAGAATTCTAAGGTAGTTGAGTTTTCCCCAGGTCCTGCTGCAGAAACCTTGAAGATCTTCTTGTGATATTGAATCCTGAATTCTTTGAATTCCAGTGGCTGGACAAACTATTTCAATATCTTTTCCATTTTCTAGGCTTTTCAAGGTCACAAAGACAATACCAGAAGTGTTTAAAACAGAATCAATCCCACTGCTGTGTGAATTCAGGAATCTCATAGGAAGTTCTCTGTGGGTCCATGAAAAGTTTGGGGGGTGGAGTGGGGTGAAGCTCTGAATAAAATGGAGAAGGGTGGGGGCAGGAGAGATGACTCAGCAGTTAAGAGCACTGGCTGCTCTTCCAGAGGACCTGAGTTCAATTCCCAGCACCCACATGATGGCTCGCAACTGTTTGTAACTCCAAGATATGACACTCTCACACAGACATACATGTAGGCAAAATGCTAATGCACATAAAATAAAAATCAATGTTATTTAAAAAGTTGAGAAGTATGTTCTCTGAGGGTCTGTTTTGTGCAGCAGGGAAAAGGAGCTGGAACGAGGTCCCCAGCTGGTGACATGGCTGTGGTGGCTTAGCTGAGGAGAGGCTAAGCTGTTTGCCACCAGATTTGATTACAGAAAGGACCCTGCCAGAGAGGCTCCCATGGAGATGTGTGCTGGAGTTAGGAGAAAGCGATCTGTGTTGAGGAAAGTGGCAAGCCCCAGAGCAGCACGGATCACAGAAGGGGAGGAGAGTCCCTGGTTAAGAGATAAAGCAGGTGCCAGCGAACTGTAGAAGTCTTTAGAAAAGTCCATGCCCGTCTGCTCCCTGGAGAAGCGTCAGAGTTTCCATGCTATTTCTTTCACCAGTTGAGCTCCCCACCCCACTAACCAGAGCCATACTGCTTATCTCAAAGACGGCGAAAGTAAAAAGGTGCACTCTGAAAGTCGTTGTAGTGGTAGTGACTTCTGCACGTCTTCGCTTCAGTTAGCTGTGCCATTTCTGAGATGGGCTGGCCTCCTTGGAAGCTAGAGGTAGAACAAGGCACAGCAACAGCATAACTCAGCCACCTACTTTATTTTTAAATCTATCATCTATCTTCTATCTCTATTTACCTATCATCTATCTCTATATCTCTATATCTCTATATCTCTCTATCTCTCTATCTATCTATCTATCTATCTATCTATCTATCTATCTATCTATCTATCATCTATTTATCTCTATCTATCTATCTATCTATCTATCTATCTATCTATCATCTATCTCTCTATACCTATCTGTCTATCATCTATTTATCTCTCTATATCATCTATCTATCTATCTATCTATCTATCTATCTATCTATCTATCTATCTATCTATCATCTATCTGTCATCTATCTCTATCCATCTAACATCTACCATCTACTATCTCTATCGATATCTATCAATATTTATCCATCTTTCTATCTATTGTCTATCTATCTGTCTGTCTGTCTACCTACTTGTCATTTATCTTATTTGGTGCTCTGGACTAGAGAGAGGGCCCCATGGTTAAGAGCACGGTGTTGCCCTGATAGCGGACCAGAGTTTGGTTCCCAGCACCTATGCTGGGAAGCTCAGAACTGCTTGTAACTCCATCTCCAGATCTGCTGCTCCTTTCTGGCCTTCTGAACACATTCACAAGCACATACCCACACACACAACATTGTGCTGGCAATCAAATGCCAGGCTTTGCATGGTAGGGAGGCATCGCTGCGCCATGCTTAGCCAGACCCCACATTTTTTCTTCCTTTCTTTCTCTCTTTTCCTCTGCCCTGTTGCTCTTCGCTCCCCTCACCTCCTTACCAGAAGGTTGATCAGCTCCTATCTGCTTCCATAGGGAAATCCATCCCCACCAAAGTTACCAGGTTTTCACTTCCTACGTTCTAGGTGCTCACTGACTGAACCTCAGATCTTAGCCATTACTGGGATGGTAGTGAGGGAAAATGAGGAGGTGAGGGGCATTCCTTCTGTTTATTTCCATTGTATTATGCTCTAAGCATAAACACACTTAGAAATCTTACCAGAGAATAACATGTGTGTCCAACTGTGTGGCATCAGACACACCTGTGCCCTCTCTGGAGCTCCTTTTCCTCCCTGGATCCTGGTGGCTGGATGGACTACTTGAATATCTTTTCTATTTTACCAGGTTTGTCAAGGCCACGAAGATGACACCGGGAAAGGTGCTTTAAAGGTGAATCCCACTGCCCTGTGAATTCAGGGGGAGGCTCCTCCAGGGTTCCCAGCTTCCCACACCTGGAAGCCCAGCACTCAGGTTGAGCTGTTCACCTACCCACCTAACTCTTCCCTGGCAGTTCATCGTGCAGACTACAAAACCATCATTTCTCAACTACCATTGTGAGTACGGGGACTCACCGGGTGCCCCACTGAGTGTCCATCCTGGGGAATGCAGAAACGAATGGGAATGCTCTGCGTGAAAACCTTCGTGATTTCTTTTTACACTCACAGACCATGGCATCATTTCCCACCTCTCCTAAATATTCCAAACCCTCGGGCCCAGAATGTCCTCTTCCCTCACACCCTAGCTAATCCAACTCAAGACTCCATTCTGGGATTCTGCGGCGTTCTTCCAGGAAAAGGGGCGTCCCACTTCCGTTTTTTTTTTTTTTTTTTTTTGTTTTTGTTTTTTTTTTTGTTGTTGTTGTTGTGACTGGTTCAGTCTCACTTGAGAAAGAGACCAAGATGTGTTGAGAGTCACCTGTGGGCCGGCAAGAAGAAGAAGTACTCTTCTGGAAGTACTCCTGGGGAGGAGGAGGTCTTTCCTTTCTCCTCTCTCACGTACTCTTCAGGAAGCACTAAGGAAGCGCTGCGGATTCCTGCCTTCGGCACATAGCGCGGCCCTTCACTCACTCGCCTGGCCTTCTGTGAGTGTGGATTTCACCCAGGAAGGAGGCTTTTTTATTCTAGCATGACTATCCATCCTTCGCTGTAGACCCGGCTGGTTCCACTTTGAAAGAAAAAGAGGAGGCTTCTAGAATAATCTGGTGACCCTTTTCCGACTTCTGCGGGTGAAGCTACGTCTCTTTCTTGGGGAGTACAGACTTATCCGGAACAGCTGGCTTGGGGAGAGAAGCAAGTGTTCAAACTCACAGCAGAAAAACTTTGGGGGATCCAGGGTGGAGAAAGGAGCTAGAGGGGAAGATCCCGCAGGGAAGAGGGGCGGGGACTAAAGGAATGCCCCGCGCGACACCCACCCCCCCCTCGCCCCGCGCAGTCGCCAGGCCCTCCCTGCCCTCCTCCCTCCCTGTCCTCCTCCCTCTCCTTCCTCCCCTCTTCTTCCCTGTGTGGATGGCCGCGGCCAGAGTCGGAGCACCAGCAGCGCTGCCCGTGAGTGATCAGCCCCAGGGACCGGGCGGAGGAGGCTTGGCGAGAGCCCCTCTCCAGGGTGGGGTCGCCCCAGCTCGCTGGAGTTTTGGGCGGGGACAGAGGACTTCTCCGGGGCTTTCCCTCCTGGACACGTCCAGGGCCCGCAAAGGGCTGGACCCCCACAGACTTCTCTCTGCCCTGGGCATAACTGCAAAGAAAGAAAAGTTCAGCTGCACGTAACAGCCAGGTTCCCGGGCAGGCAGGACGGGGCGGGGACTGTAGGAACCCATGCTTGGTTCACCCAGATCGGGGCACCAGACCCTGTCCCGCAAGAGCTCCCTTGGAACTCAGGATCCCCACGTCTACCATACTTCCAACCCCATCCCACAGTCTTCCAGGCTCCTGTTCTTGGTGGTCCTGCCCTCACCGCTGGGTGGGTTCGCTTCCATCCCTCTTTTCCTCTGAGATGACCAGCCAGGCCGAGCCAGCCAGGCCAAGGGGTCCACACACAGGCGTCAGAACACTCTGCCCTAGGGTTTGTTGCAGCAATGTCTTGTGCCCGGATTAGGCATGTGAACCCTGTGGGTGCAGGTGCGAACGAAAATAGATTCCCTTTAGGACTCTACTATATGTATGGTTTGGTAGCACCCATCCTGGGTATCTAGTTGTCTATCGTATGTCTCCTTTCTTCCCAACTGTATACCCCTCAACAATGATAGTTAATCTAATTAGACGGCAAAACTTATAATACAAGACAGAATGCTAGCCAAAAAAATGTGTTCAGGACCGGTGAGATGACTCAGGGAGAAAAGGTGATTGCTAAGCCTTGACAACTTGAGTTGGATTGCTGGGAACCCCAGATAGTGCAAGGAGAAAACCCACTCCCTCACGTTGTTCTCCATATTCAACCCATGCACAGTGGCACATGCTATCCCCCCTCCACTGCCGCCACAGAAAGGAAAAAACAAACAAACAAGCAGCAAAAAAGCAGCGAACAGTAAATAAAACATACCGTGCAGAAGCTGGTCTTCTCAAAGTGAGGACTTCAGTCTCTACTAACTGTTAGTGAAGCTTTTTTTTTTTCTTTTTTGACTGCTCTAACCCAGCTATTACAGCCTCCCCCAGGCTAGAGGTTTTAATTTGCCTGACGTGCTTGGGCAGGAAGGCTGTTGGCCTGCAGTTGTGCAAACAAGAGAAAGAATGGAAGAGGCTAAAATGAGAGGGACCACAAACAAAATAAAACACAGCGCTAGTTTCTAGCCCCGAGGCTGTGGCTTTAGCTGCGTTCTGATTGGGAGGAAGAGCTGTTTAGTTCATTTGTGTGGTTTTTAGGTTGGGTTCTAGTATGGCTGAATCAGTGTTTCCATGATGGGCTTGGTTCTATGGCTGCTTCCAGAGAGCCTCTCGAGTCTTTCCTGGAACTACACAGATGGATTCGGGGGTAGTTTTTGTTGTCGTTCGTTGTCTGTGTTTTAGGGATTGAGTGATTTTGACTGCCTCACCAACTCAGAATCAGAGCTGTTGGAAGCAGCCAGGGCTTCATCAAAACTTTGTTGTGTGGGAGGAACTGCAGGGGAATGCTGCGCTTCACCATATGTGAGAAACACGTACTTCTGTTGGTTTCTTGAAGTGTGTTTACATGTGTGTTGTGTATGCGGGTGTGCATGCATCTATGGATGGCAGGGAGGGTGTTATTCCCTTGAAACAGAGTCTCTCACTGAACCTGAGCTCGCTGTTTTCCCCAACAGACTGGCAAACACCAGCATCACCCTGTCTCTGCTCAGGCATGCCTCCTTTTGGCCAAGTTGAATGTTCTATGTGAGTGCATGGGGATCCGAACTCAGATCCTTTAGCTAGCCCTTAAGGAAGAGAAGCTTCTGAAAAACTATTCTCTTTCTCTACAAACAATAATGAGACCATAACACATGTTGCAAACAACCTTTTAAAGCAGGTCAGGGGAGAAATAAAGATTTAAAGACCATGGTAATGCGGAAACTCGTAACGGCGTTTAGTCTTGAGAATAAGAGACTGTTGGCGAGCCGTCTGCATCCTCCCCTGCAAGTCTCAGGAAACATGGAGGAGAGGGCAAATAGAGTGAAAGAAGTGAAGGATGGGAAGACACGCTAAGGAAACCTGTTCTCTTCAGCATGGTATGGATGGTGCCCCGTGAACTCATAGCCACAAAATGGGGCCCGCCTGTTGTCCGTCATGGATGGGGAGGGGCTCATAAGGCCCATGCTAGAACAAGCAATCCTAATAAAGTGAAGTGGAACACACACACATACACACACAGATGGACAGGGAGAAAGGGATAAGAGGACAATGGGAGGGAGATGATCAAAGTACATTTTACATATGTATGACATTGTGAAAGAATAAATAAAATATAAAAAGGATTTAAAAATTGAATTCATTGAAAATGGGGGAGGGCTTATTTTAAACAGGCTCTAACTCACTTCTGCCCAGTTTGACAGCTCACATTTGTATGAATTAGTAAGGCTTTGTCAGTAGTCTCAGTGCATAAAGACCACCTTCATTTAAGTGCAGGTCCTAAGTGTTGAACTTGTATGGCCCCATTGCTTAGAAAAACAATGCACCCCGATAAGAATCTTTTGTTTCTTCCTCTTCCTGGGAATTTCTAATCCTGTCCTAAAGCCCTGGAAGTCAACCTTCTGCTGTTTGGAGACACCGTGTGGAATGAATCTAGTTAAACAGGGTAGTCTGCCAGGCATCCAGCAGCAAAGACTGACTAAGTGGCCTCGGAGTAGGCTTTACGTTTGATTCTGGAGATGTCAGCAGACCACAGAAGGGTCCCTGACCTCAGGGTGAGTGTGATGGATAGTGAGGTGGAGGCCATATCTCCAAACAGCCAAGAGAACGTCAGCCACCATCTGGCCAAGGCACATGGGTTAGAAACCTGCATACTGAGAGAAGAGAGCAGGGGATGTCGTTATCATTCACGAAGAGGTGGGACCCGAGGCCGGTCCCACGAGGGGCGGTGGTCCCACGAGGGGCAGCAGTTGGCCACTCAGGGCCTCACGGGTCCTCTGGCGGGTGGCCCGAGGCCAAGGGGAAGTCAGACAGATAGATACGTCATGCAGAGACAGCTGGGGTATAGAGTTTATTTAGTGGGTTATGGAGGTGAAAGGGAGGGGGAGAAAAGGGGAAGGGGAGGGTGGGAGAAGGGAGAGAAGCAGAAGCTGCCTCTTCAGAAGAAGGGCAGAGAGAGAGAGAGAGAGAGAGAGAGAGAGAGAGAGAGAGAGAGAGAGAGAGAGAGAGACCTGGAGAGGAGGTGGGAGATCCACTTGCCTTGGCAGAAGGGGGAGGTTGGGAGTGGGAGGGGCTTGTCTCTTGAAGGGACAGGGTACCCCGGAGACAGACCAGGCCAGCACTTTACAACAGTTGTCAAAAAGTAGACTCAGCACAGGAACGCTATGTGGCCTTTAAACACTGTACCATACTGAATACTGAGTCACATAGGAGATCCTCAGAGTATGGGGTAAATTTAAATAGCAAGTTTACGGATTAGAAAGCACTAGCCTTTTGCTCTTTGAAAACACACCTGTAACAACTGGAATTATATGCTTTGAAGTGGATGGGGGATTATAGTTGCTTTTGCTTTTTCTGTGTGTTTGCCAGGGTTACTCAGCTTTTGACAGTAATGATAGCTAACATTCAACGAGTGTTAAACACGCTCATGGAGAATTTCATTTTCAAAGTCTCTCAGGAAAGAACTGTTATTATTTTCATAGTGGAGATTCAGAAACCAAGATTAGAGGGGAATTTGCCATGGCTGTACAGGCACTAACTGTGGAAAGCAAACCTCAGACTTAAGTCAGTAGTGAAAGTCTAATATTATTATGGAAAAATCAAAAAGGGAAATAGTTCTTGTTTTAATAGAGTCAATTATTTTGATTGCTTTTAAAATCTGCTTCCCAAAACCTTCGTCTTCCCCTGTCTTTTCTTTTTGGAAGTCTTTGAGAATTGCTCCAGACTTACAGCATAGTTGGGAAACAGCTCTACCTCATGAGATGTATCCAGAATTCTCTGGAAGTTTCCCAGCCAGACTGGAGTTCCAGGAATCCCATGGGATTCTGGTGCAGCTTCAGTATAAGGCTGGAAGTTTTGAAGTAGACTCGGCAGACCATGCTCCAGAGCTGTCACTGTTCTTTACAGCAGTGTGAGGGGACAGGAGTGAGTGTGTCCTGACGCTCAGTTCTCTGTGAACGGGGTAGTGAGCTGGCATCTGGAAGCCTGGCTCCAGGGGTGATCTCATGTGTTGCCAAGGTTGGCTGGTTTAATGCACATGGGGATATTTGGCCTGATTCTGAAGCTCAGTCACATAGCATTGGCCACTCTCTCAGGCAGCCAGGCCCTGGAGATCACTTTATCCTTCTCCTTTATAGTACCTACCTACTTTCTTTAGAAAGTTCAGTTTGTTTGATACCCCCACCTCAAAACAAAACAAAGCAAAACAAAAACAACCCTGCTGACTTAGATGCCCGGAGGATGTTTCTCTTCCATTTCTCAAGGAGAGATTTCTGGAAGACTCATGATTCCAGTAATGGTGACCTCCTCATTCAGAACATGTTGTAGCCAGGTGTGATGACACATGCCTTTAATCCCAGCACTCAGGAGGCAGAGGCAGGTGGATCTCTGTGAGTTCCGGGACAGCCTGGTCTACAGAGTGAGTTTAGGACAGCCAGGGCTGTGTAGCAAGAGCCTGGCTGAGAGTGAGTACAGCTCTTGCAGAGGACTGGTTTGGTTCTCAGCATTCACACTAGGTGGCTCACGGCCACTTGTAACTCAGGCTCCAAGGGATCAGATGCCCTCCTCTGGCTCCCATGGGCATCTGCACTCACAAGTCCACCCTACTACATACAATATAAAAATATAAATTAATAAATCTCAAATAAAAAGAAAGAAAGGTCACTATAATGGTGAGTGATCCCTCCCCAAACGATCAAACTTAGACTGTTGTGAGGTCTTGTTTATATTTAACAAATAAGAGGTTTCTTTCT